AGGGCATCAACGCAACAGGGTGGGCTATTCCACCCTTCATCATCTTCAAGGGCCGCTATCACCTCTCTGCCTAGTACAAGGAGGAGAATCTGCCTCAGGACTAGGTTATTGCAGTCTCTGAGAACAGCTGGACAACAAATGAGCTTAGGCTGCAGTGGTTAAAGCACTTTGATAAGTATACAAAGAGGAGGGTTATAGGCGCTTATCGGCTCCTCATTATTGACGGCTATGAGAGCCACAACTCGCTCGATTTCCAGCAGTACTGCAAGGAGAACAAGATTATCACTATCTGCATGCCTCCGCACTCATCGCACCTCCTGCAGCCTCTTGATGTAGGATATTTTGCCCCTTTAAAGAAGGCGTACAGGCGCCAAGCCAAAGATCTTATGCGCAACTAGATCACCTACATCACAAAACTTAAGTTCCTACTATGCTTTATACGCGCCTATAATGTAGCAATTACTTCTAGTAATATCTAAGGAGGGTTTTAAGGCACTAGATTAGTCCTATTTAACCTAGAACAGGTTATAACAGCCCTTAACGTCCAGTTGCGTACTCCATCACCACTACTGCCTATTAACACTAAGTCCTGGCAGTTGCAAACCCTAAGCAATACCCTTAAACTAGGGTCGCAATTAACGCTTGTTAAGGAAAGGATTTAGAAGCATATAGATAGCTCACCAACGTCTATAGTAGAGGCCTTTAAGAAGGTCTCAAAGGGGGCAGCGATTATCGCGCACAAGCTAGTGTTGGCGCAAAAGGAGATCGCAGAGCTTCAAGCGGCAAACAAGGCTGCTACGCGACGTAGATCGCATAAAAGAAAGCGGGTTTAGGCAGAAGGGACCTTAATAGTTAAGGATAGAGCTCGTCTAACTGCTCTAAAGGAGTTTGGGGCGCGTAGTGATGGGAAGAAGGCAAAGAAGCAGGTACGCGCTGAAGGAGGTGAGCCAACTCAAAGGCGCTGCAGACAGTGCAATCAGACTGGGCATAACGCGCGTACGTGTAAGCAAGCAGTAGAAGTAGACTCTGAATAATATCTCGTGTTATATTGCTCTATACAGGGCCAAAGTGGGCTGTTTTGCGCCAGAATGGGGTGGTTTTGGTGGGGGCTTGGCAAAAGTGGTGCACGAACCTGTGTGGTGCACGAACCCGTGAGGTACGTTAGTAGTTATAGATATCTATATACTAAAGTTTAGTATATAGTTATAATACTTCCTTAGTAACTAACGTACTCCACAAGCGAGCTGGCCACCCAAGCGAGCTGGCCACTTTTGCCAAGACCACACCGAACTTCACTCTCCCTGTAATGCCTCAACGCAACAACGTAAAAAAGCCTTCAAATGAAACACATATACAGCTTGCCCTCCAGGCTATCCAGCAAGACGCGACACTAAGCGTGCGACGCGCTGCAGCAATATACCAGGTCTCTCAAAGCACCCTAGGCACGCGCCTTACTGGAACCTCTTCACGACGCGATTGCAAGCCCAACATGATAAGGATGACTAGTACTGAGGAGGAGGTGATTGTCCAGCATGTATT